AGAGTCGTTTTCTGTGGTGCCTCGAAGGGCTTCAGTAACTCAGTGCTTCAGGTGTTTGACGATTTGTGAAGGAGGCTTGGAGCTGTTTACTGACGTACTTGGAAGTAGAAGGCATACTAAGCTTCTTGCATCTGGATCCTTAGGGGACCAAAGCCATTTTGTGAAGTTCCTTAAGGGAGACCTTCAAGAAAGGACTGCATTCCATATGCAGTCACTCAAGGGGCTTAGAGCCACTTTCAGAAGTGCCTGGAAACTGTGTTTAGTACATTAGTACTGTGTTTCAGGTCTTTGTTAACTGGGGGAGAGGAGGAGATCAGAACTATTTTCTGACACTACTGGAAATGTGAGGTTGGTGGAATGGAGACCTTCACCCACAGGATTTCTTACCCAGGCCTTTGTGGTGGCAGCTCAGAGTCATTTTCTGTGGTGCCTGGAAAGGAGTGGATAATGCCACTCTTTAGACATTAGGCAGAAGAGGGACACAGCCATTTTCTGATGTACCTGGAACAGTGGAGGCCATACTGTGTTTCTTGCATAAGAGGCTTTGTGGTGTTCAAAGAGATTTGTGAAGTTCCAGGGATAAAGACAGAGTGGGGGTGGGGGGCGGGGACATGTCACACATGGCATTCTACAACCAGGCCCTTGGGGACCCACAGCCATTTTATGAGGAGCTAGGGAGTAAGTCACACCAGGCTACCCACATAGAGAGATGGGAGCCAATTTGTGAGCAGAGCACAGTGTGACACCCAAACCATGCTTTCTTAGTGTATGTGACCAGTTTCCAGGTTTGAAAAGGCCCCTTTGGGAATAGAATGTTTTCTCTTTTTTTTTTTCACTTTGCCTAGATTTATTAATTGCTAATGTTTATCTATATTGCTTTTCTCTTTTTCTTTTTCTTTTTTTTTTCAGTGTGAAAACAAGTGGGACTGTTTTAATTTGTGACTCCATTACCAACTGTGTTGATGTGTATGAGTCTAGCCTCAAGGCCCCTTATATTTTAAAACTATTTTAACAACTCCATACAAGTACATAGTATTTGGTTAGCATGTCCCCAAGGAGGACAAACAGCATTGCTAGCTGTCTTGAGGAGTTTGTAGAGACACACTGTATTCCTTTTCGCAGTCATAGAAACAAACCTAGGGTGACTGGAGGTATTACCACTACTAGGGCTTCCAAATCTCTCTCCTAGAAATTGACAGTATTAAAGCCAAGGTTTTATGTTCTTGTTGCTTACAGAATGCTCAAGTACCCACTTGTTGCAATGAGCCACTTCCCCCACTATTTTACATACAAAAGAAGTTCCTGGTTGGGATGGACAGTCTATGAGAAGCAAAGAGACACCATAAGCTTGACCTAAGAGAAAATTTCTAGATAGTAGGTTCTGAATTACTCCAGCCTGGCACCAAGTATGGCCCAAATTAAACAATAATGGCATCCTTGCCATTCAGAGCACAGTTTGGTCACTATACACCCTTGTATTCTGGGATGCCCTGAGGATGCCAAACTGTTTTACTGTGCCTTTGCTTAAGACTGTGGTGTGAGAAAGAGCAGGGACATTTTTTTCCTGGGAGTAAGGCCTCAGATATGTAAGGATAAGGAACCAGGACCACCCAGGAGGAGCATAAGACTCCTGATAAAGGACATGCAAAAGCCGCCTGCTCTGCTTCACAGAATGTGAGTGGAGGTCTAGTGTACAACAAAGATATCATCTCTGACTTATGGATTAGTTGTGAAGGTGGTATTCAGAGGTGGCATTCGCCTGAAAGATGGGAGTGGGGGTGGGTGGGTCAGGAAGTGCTTTGTGGGGAATGAGGAGGAAGAAAATCTTCATAATTTGAAAGAAAATACAGGACCCTGCCCACTTTGCCTGTTTTTAGAAGCCCCTGCCCAGGAATATCCAGAAGTGATACATCTTGACTTCTGTCTCCTCTCTCAGGAAGGTGAGCCTGTTAAGTCTGGGATACCACCAGAGCCCACAGGGTGCCAGGCATCTGTGCCAGAGTAGGTGTCCATTTTAACCAGGAATCCAGGTATGTAGTCATGGTCAAAATGAACATGTGAAGAGGGCCCCATCCCCCAAACAAAAGAGTGCATAAAATATGCATGCCCCTTTTGTAATGACTGGGAGCCCTTGCTAGGGGTGACTTCCATGCCTTCCATGGAAAGCAAGGATCTCTTGAGAGTGAGCTAAGATGCTCTGCAGGTGGATTTTGGGAACTCCTATCTCCTAAGAGATGAGCTCAGGACAGTTGGCCATTATAGTATATCCCCCACAGGGGTCCCAGTTCTCTGGAGTGGACTACAGGGTATTCAAGTGAGGAACTTCACCAGAGTCAGAGCCCTCCCTTGAAATCAGGTCTTGGTTAAATAGACACATAGGAAGTTCAGGGAATGGATCCCAGGGGATGAGCAAAGGAGTCTCTGCTCCAGACCATAGACAGTGGCCCCACAAGAGACTTCCTTGAGGCACACAAAGAGTCCTGAGCAGGTGTCTCCTGCCCTTGTTCCAGGCAGGAGAGTACAAGAGCTGAAAGGCCTGCTTGAGAGCTCCTTGACCCGGATCATCAGAGGGAAGGTCAAGTTTGTGAGGACACAGGGTGAGAGTTGAGGAGTCCCTTCCTCATACACAAGAGTCCTCACTACCTACCTGCCTGCCTGAGGGCTGAGGGTGGGTAAACCAAGGAACTTTGAGTGGATTCCTTCTCCTCTCCTGTTCTGCCTTTCTCACAGATTAGCATCTTGTCTTAAGAAGTTGGACAGCAGGATCATCTAGAGCAGGTTAGACATAGCCATTCTTCAAGGCAAGAATCAGGGTGCTGTCCTGCTTTAGCACAAATGAACCACACTGAATTGGGTTCCCTCTTTCAGTAACCCTTGACCAGGTATCAGGAATTTGGAGGTGCCCTTACTGCTTTCTGTCCCACTTCAGAGACACAGAAAGTTGTTCTGAGAATTTACCTCAGGGAAGAGAAGGCATGCACAGTAAAGCCATGTATATTCTTCCTTTAGGCCATGATATATGGAGTACCAGTATACTTTGACCACAGAGCATTCCCCAAGCAAAATCCTGTAACGTTGATTTGAGAGCTGCCCAAGGGATAGCTGTCAGAGTCCACTCACCTTCTTGCTTTCTCCCTCAGTCCTGTGAGTCTTCATCCCTGTGACCTCCAAGGTGTCCTGTCTGTGATCTCAAGAATACTCAGCATGGATCCTCCTAAGAAGAGCCAGAACGTCAATGTCCTGGACAACACTCAGTCCCAAAGCAAGGCAGGGGACCTGGAGGGTACCCCTGTCCCCATAGCAAATGCGGGGGAGGTGGTGGCCGCTGCCTCAACCTCAGGGGATGTGTCTGTGCGAGGAATGCTGGGATCATCCCAGAGTTCTCAGAGGGCCTCTTATCATCCTACTGTCATGGGCTTCACTGCAGGGGTACCATCTGTTGAAGGGTCTCATAACCGATCCAGGGCAGTGGCCAGTGCAGTGTTCCCTACACAGGAAGCAATAAATAGAAAAGTAGTTAGTCTGGTTCACTTCCTGCTTTCCAAGTATCGAAGTAAACAAATAGTAACTAAGGCAGAAATGCTGGCTGAGATCACAAGAGCTTATGAGTTGTCCTACCAGGTGATATTTACTAAGGCCTCTGACTGCATGTGGCTATTGTTTGGCATTGACGTTATAGAACTCTACCCCCTTGTCCACTCCTACTTTTTTGTCCCTGCACTGGGGATCACCTATGATGGGATGCAGCATGGTGTTCCTGGCATACCCAAGACAGGCCTTGTAATCATTGTGCTATGCATCATCTTCTTGCATGACAACTGTGTCAGTGAGGAGGAGTTGTGGCGTTTATTGAATAACATAGGGCTGTATGCTGGGAGAGATCATTTCATGTATGGGGAGCCTAGGAAACTCATCACTGAGCATTTTGTACAGGAAGGGTACTTGGAATGCAGACTGGTGCCTGGCAGCCTCCCTCCTAGCCATGAGTTCCTGTGGGGTCCAAGGGCCCGTGCTGAAACCACCAAGATGAAAGTCTGGATCTTTTTTGCCAGCATAGTTAGGCAGCATCCCAGATCCAATCCCTTCAGGTATGCAGAGGCTTTGATAGAAGAGCTACTGAGGTCCTAGGCCAGGAGCACCTTGCAAACGGTACCTCTGTGCTGACTGGCACCCATTATAATGCACTGGCAGTTCCCATACAATATCAGGTCAGGCAGTCATTGGTCTAAGAACTGTACCCTCATTTTAGAGCTGTTGAGAGGAGTTCCATCCTATTTCTCCTTTTCTGACTGGGTGTCTTGGGGTTTCTTGCTGTACCAAAATGTTGTTGCTTTTACTACAAGGTCCCTTAGCTGTAGATGTTTCACCTTTATGAATGTAATTACTAAAACATGTATTCTTGATCCAGACTATGAGAGTCTGATTATTTTGAAAAGAAAAAAAAAAAAGGAGGTTGCCTCCTGTCTAACTTGTACAATGTCACTGGATTTCATGACATTTGAAATGAAAATTTTTGACAATACTGAACAACATTATTTTGAACAACAAAATAAATTTCTTCTTGATTTCCTCATCTCTTTCTGTTTAACTACTTATTACAAAACGAAAGCTTAACAGAATCGCTACCCTAAATCTTCAGTGAGCACATGGTCTCTCTAAGGCTCTGTGTTAGTGAGACATGGGAGAAGTCAGATCCATCAGTACCCACAGGATATGTGAGTACAGAGGAAACAGACTTGCAAGGAAGCCATCGAGAAATGCTTTAGATCAGAAGTCCAAGCACAGGAAAGCAGCAGTGTGCTCTCTCAGCAAGAGCAGCCACATGTCAATGCCATAAAGAAGGAACCTGTAAGTGTGGAAAATGAGAAAGACGCTGAGACCAGGTCTTTCAGGGTGGGAGTGGGAGAGTTGTGGTGAACTTAGGGCAGAGAGAAGGGGAAACTGCTCTGAGCAACCCTTGCTCCTTAGTAACTTGGCAGGGAAGAGTCAGCCTGGAGTGTCCTTGGGGATTAAACATGAACACAATAGCTGCAAACCCCTGGGCTGAAACAATCAATCAAGAACCAAACAAAATAGGCAGAGAATACTGTCTTGGTGGAGGATCTGGAATTACAGCTGAGCACACCACATGCACTGCAGGGCTGACCCCCAACCTGTGGAAGAGGTTTGTGAGTCATGGTGGAATTATGGGAAAGTGGATCTTAGAACTCCTCCCCTGTCTCCTTGGTCAGGAGAGGCAGAGCTGACTATTCAGATAACTTGATTGTTTCTCACTTGGACCAGTGTTTTACCTGCACATATGACTGTACTACATATGACCCTGGTGTCCCCAGGGGTCAGGAGAGGGTGACTAATTTCATGTAGCTGGACTTTGCGAGGTTGTAATCCTCCATGTGAGTGCTGGAAGTTAAACCCTGGTCCTCTACCAGAGCAGTAAGGGCTATTAACCACTGAACAAAACTTCCTAGCCCTAGCTACACTTAAGTTTTAGCAAGCATTTGTGTGTGTTAAGTGTGAGCATATACATATGCAGGTCTTGGTGGAAGTGTGGACATAAGAGAACAGCTTTCCAATGGATTCTCAAATTTCTTGGGGTCAAGTCAGCATCTCTGCTGGTTTTAATGCCTCCTCCTCCAGGCAGGATCACTGCTATTTTTACTGCTGCCCTCGATGATCCAGGATGGCTGGCCTGAGAGACTGTGGCTCATTCCCATGCCTGTCTGCCTAACACCTCACCAAGGATGTGCATGGATTACAGATGCCCACTGATGATGCCCACTATGTTTTCAGGTTCCAGGGAGCTAAACCAGATCCAGAGGGTAGAGCAGCCTGCATTTCCACGTTCTGTTCCATGTTCTAGTTCCTAAGATAACATTTCACCTCCTCTCTATTGTAATTTGGGAGACTCTAAGGAGACAATGGCTTTGGGATTTTGGTGAACAGCAGTGGGTAGTGGTTTGGCTGGAAATGTAGCGTTAGGGTGGGTTAGAGCTAGTCTCTGACTAGCAGGCTAGGAGTTTCTCTCCCTGTGAGGGAAACACCCAGATTTCAACATGTGTTTGGCAAGGGGAAGGATTTAGTGAAGTTTCTCCATGAGAATTCCCTTGGGCTCATTAGTTACCTCATTTCTACCTTTCAGTATAGCTCTCCTCACCACAGGCACTTGCCACCGGGGCCTTTACATGTAGCACAGAAACTCCAGCTCCTGATGGACAGGCTTTATCACACCCATTTCCCAGGTGATGAGCTCTGAGGTCCACAGCATTGGAAATCTCCCTAGTTACTGCCACAGGTCACTGGGCAGGAGTCTGCATGCACCCATGGCTCAGACAGTTCCAAGACTTCTGACACCATGGGTGTCATGAACCTTCTGCTCTTAAGGGCAGGGTGCTTCTTGGCTCTTCAAAATGTCTTATCAGGCCTCAAATAAAAGGACTCTCCAGGAGGCCAGTGCCACTGACTGAAATCAGCTTCTAAGGAAAAGTAGCAGTGCATGAGTCACACAGGATTAGAGGACTGTCCCTGAGTGCATTCTGGATAGCTGAGTATCCCAATATGGAAGTCTCCGGTCATTCCCAGGTCTCTCTGGTGGTCATACACAATGTGCCTGCTGGTCCATTTTCTGTGTTCTTGATGCATCCTCTGTAGGGAAGAAAGGGGCCCCTGCCCTCCCTTGTAACTGTCTTTCACAGTGACCAAGGGACCTGTTGAGGTGTTTGCTGAAAGTGGTCAGGTGTATCACAGCAGAGACTCACAGGTAAAGGTTCGCTGCTGGTCTAAAGGAAAGATATTACTGGTGACATCCCAAGAAAGTCATAAAATCATCCCGACCAGTAGAGGAATCTGCCATTAATGAAAAAAGGAAAACCTTGTCACTTGGTTTTCCCCAGAATCCTTTCCTGTGGCATGGCTACTAGGGGACTTAAAAGGTTCTATCTTTCTAGGTGCTTTAGAATACAGAGATTTCAGGGCAAGTCTGGTCTTAGCAGAATCATTGCCAAGAGGTAAAGGATGCTATTGTCTCATGGAGCTTAGGAGATTCCTCAGCACTTCAGAGCCATGTCTGTTCTTGCAGAGCTTCCAGGTTTGATTCCCCCACCCACAAGTCAAGCAGCTCACCAGCAACTATCTGTGAGTCCAGGTCAAGGGATCAGGCTCTCTCTTCAGGGCTCCATGAACACTCAACCATGTGGTGCCCAGAGGAATGTGCAGGCAAGACAACCCTACAGATGTCAAATCAAGTTTCCACTAAAAAAGTAAACAGCACACACCAATGTTGTTACCTTTTGCTATACACACTTAATATTTTCCGGGAGATAACCTAGGTATGGGGCAGAGCCTGCCACCCCCTTTCTACCTGGGCTCTGGCAAGTTGCAGTGTGTCACCTTTTCCTTTTAATCGTGTCATTTACTTTCATGTCCCTAGGGCTACAGTATGGGTGCATGGATGGGTCAAGTTTTGATTACCTGAGAGTCTTTGGGTCTTCCCTGTTATACATTCATTACCAGTTAAGGGAGCTCACAGTCACATGTAAGTCCATGTTCAAGGATCAAACATCTTCTACTGTCCTCCAAGGGCAACTCTACTCATGTGCTCAAACAAAGACACAAGACCCACATGATTACCACTAAAACTAAATCATTTAAAAAGAATCCTCTGTCACTCTGGGTGCAGGGATCTTTCACTCCATGGTGCCTGTGACTCTGTCATAGCCCAGTCTGTCATCTGGAGCATGGCACCTCTGCTTCAGGTTCTATAAGACATACAGACCATGATGATTCCTGCATGATCTTCTCTGATGGCATCCAGGTAGTCATACTCAGGTGGATGGGGCTGTGCTCTCACTTATGTGACACTTGGAAAAGTCCCTTGTGTCCTCTTGCTGAAAGGGGGATCTTTCTCATGTCACTTTGATAGGCACTACCCTCACATCATCTCAGGATATGACAGGCAGATAGAGAGGAAGAAAGAAATAGAGAAATGATTCCTTCAGGAGTTGATTCTCTCCAGATTTTCATCTCTTCTGGGTCTTTTCTTATATTTCTCTTTTAAAAAGTTAATTCCTTTTTTATTTTCAATCTATGAATGTTATCTGTTTGTATACATCTGCAGCACATGCATTCCGGTCCCTACAGTAGCCAAAACAGGGTGCCAGATGCTCTAGAACTGGACCTGCAAGTGGTTGTGAGGATTCATGTAGGTGCTGAGAACCAAACCCGGGTGAGAACAACAAGAGTTCTTAAACACTGAGTCATTTCTCTAGCCTCTCTTTATTTTCTGTTCCTTGTACCTGGAAAATTTTCAAAGGACCACGCAGGCTTTTGTTTGTGTCTCTTCTTTCACCCTCTTCTGACACTGCTACACCTATCCAGACAACCTTGAACATTTACAGTGCTTAGGTTCTGTTTGGCTGTGAGACCACAAATAGGAGCATACTGTGTACTTGGTGGTATCATAGCTCTGTCCTTTAGTACATCTGTGATGTTTTCTGCATCAGAATGGTATGAACTTCCCACTGCCCCTCAACACTCCACAAATTCAAATGATGCCTGTCCAGAAGAGGAGAATATCAATTTGCCTCCTTTGCCTCATTATGAAGAAAGTCACACTTCCAGCAGGCTGACAAATTGACAGACAGTATTTCCTTATCAATAAATTCTCTTGAAGGCACAACATTGAGGTGATGCTGGCTCTCCAAGGTTTTCACTGGACAGTATGGCCCCACGGCTGTTCTTGGATCTTTCCAAGGATAGGCTCATTCTTACCACCTGGCTAAGGGTCCATTGTGCAGAGCATACTCCACAGAACAGAGTAGTACTTCACAAGCCTGTGCAGTATGAGATCTTGCTCTATAAGGGCCCCTGTCCTCATTGAGATGGATGCAGATAACAGCTGACTTAGCAAACTCATGCTGTATGGAAGGAGAGGGTAGCAACCCCTCTAACAAAGATGGAAGAGTGCTGGGGACAAGTGGTTAAGACACAGTCTCTTGCTTTGATGTAGAAAATTACTATTCTCCTACTATGTTAAAGCTATTAGCCCAGACCCAAGAATTGTAATACTACCTGTTCCCTCCTGTTTGTGATTCTTACATTTTAAGTGCCTGTGTGTTTGTGTGTGTGTGTGA